GAAGGATGGAAGGCTGAGTCAACCCTGAGCCGGTGAGATTTGAACCGCTGACCTGCTGATCTAGCAGTAGCCTGCAGTGCTGCATTTAACCACTGCAATAGAAATATACTCACAATTTCTATGAACCCTATACAATTATTTGTAATTTTCCTTTACTTTACTAAGTCATTCAAATCAAGATGCTTTGTTAATTTATAGTAAAATTGACATCAAAAAGGTTTTGTGGCATAGTTTGACAGCTTGTGTATATCCTGTATTTTTTTACAAATATCCTTGATGAAATATTGTTGGCTAAGCTAGATATAGAATTCTTCATATTGAATCACACTGTGAATGTGATTTACTTACATGAAAGATTTAGTAACTTGCATAAATCAATGGTTTTTAGCCAGAAAAACATTTTTGAAGCATTTCTAAAAGTATCAGTTCTATAAATATCTACTTTTCTAAAATGTTAAATACTACTTTAATTCATGCAAAGACATTCAAAATATGTTACATCATTATAGTTCTAATGTTTGTAGGCACCTTTTGTTTAAAATAACACTAGTGGTTTTCTTAAAATTTTGAAAAGAAAAAGCAAAGTTAGAATAATTTTCAGTGTGCATACTGGCATAGAATCTAAGATTGTTGTTGTTAGTTGCGAAATCATGTCCGACCCATTGTGACCCCATGGACAATGTTCCTCCAGATCTTCCTGTCCTCTACCATCCTCTGGAATCCATTTAAGCTCACACCTACAGCTTCCATCCAGCCACCTCATTCTCTCTCCCTTTCTTCTTTTGCCCTCAATCTTTTCCAGCATTAGGCTCTTCTTCAGGGAGTCCTTATTTCTCATTAGGCGGCGAAAGTATTTGAGTTTCATCTTTAGGATCTGGCCTTCTAAAGAGCAGTCAGGGTTGATGTTCTCTAGGACTGATTGATCTGATCACCTTGCAGTCAAGAGACTTTCAGGAGTCTAAGCATCTAAGATGTAGTAGGCTTTAATAAAATGTTTGTTTCACATATATGGTTGTGTAACATCTGCTGTATACTTCAAATGGACATAATGTTTAACATCGGTTTGACCCAGCTGCATAATGGTAGCCCTGGACCCTGGTTGGAATTCCAATTTCTGTTCTTGGTTCACAATTTAGATTTGCATAAAAAGAAAACCTATTTGTTTGTCCAAGTAACAAAAAAAGCAGCTTAAAGAAAAACTCTTCCTCCAAGGAACCTATCTTCTGTAAAAACATTTACGTGCATGGTGATTTATTTATTTATTCTGCTGATTTATACAGCTGCCCATTTTAAATCACTCTAGGTGGTTGACAACAAATCTAGATAAAAACATAAAAAATGGGAAACATTCCCAATTTAAAAACGATTGTGACATCTTACAACTAGTGCCAACATAATTCTCTGGAACTATGAAACTGTCTTTTATCCATAGAAGGTTAGCTTTTTTGGCTGTTATACTCTAAGTGCCATATATATCTGTTATGAAAACAAGTCTTGATTTGGCAATATTTTTTCTGCCCACTAGTAAAATAGTAGGAAGGTGATTACAGTTGTCCATTTATAATTAGGGAATCCCAATCTGCACCCAAAACAAGTCCCCTAATCTGGAGCTAAAAAGGAAAGCAAAGAATTGGTTATGACTGACTGTAGAGAAGCAGTATGAAATTAGTGACAAAGGGCTCAATTCATTTACATATCTAATGGAAGCAAATGTTCTTTGAACAAGGGAATTCATGTCTAAATATACTGTATAAAAAAGGATTGTATTAAGTAGGAAGGGAAAGGACATAGCTGCCACAAATTTTGACCAGCTCAAACTCTTAGTCCTCCTTATAACTAAGTAGGTGCTTCTTATATTACATTTTATCTCATTTTCTGTTCAAGAAATTTAATTTTTGATACTATTTACCCCACCCAAGCAAAAAAAAACATGGGGAGTCTAGGATAACAAAAGGCAGATGGCCCAAAGTTAACCTGTAACTTTTCATGACTGAACCTATTGAAACCTATCTTCTTCCAGACCTATCTTGGTATTTTGATTTCCACACAAACCTAGTTCCTAGATTGTACCAAATTTTTCACTGTTCCCAGTTCTTCTCCTCTTTACCTACTGAACCTGCAGACATCTCTCACTTCTTTGGTGCTTAATATAAAACATGATTATGAGTAAAATATTTTCTTTTGCATTTTTTGAAAAGAACTCTTCAGATTATGTCAGGTTAATAATTATGTTCCACATAACTGTATATATAAAACCTTTGGGAATAGAATGCTGAATGAGGAACTAGCAGGGCTGTTGAAATGCAGCTTCTTAATAGCATATTGCAGAAACTGCTGAGATTCAAATAATGGGAAGATTCTAGAATTCTTAGTATTCTAAGAACAGTGTCAAGACATCTTGACACTAATGAGAAAAAACAGTATTTTGCAAGGCTAGCACTGATCAACGTCGTATTTAAATCCTAACCTATTATGACAAAATACTGCCAAAAAATAATCTGTTTCCTCGTCTCTGAAATCTTCTGGAGAAGTAGCTGGAGAGTTCTCAGGTATTAGAGGTAACAATACCTCAATGATGTTGAGGACTAACTACCATTCTCCTGGCTGAGTCTAGCACAGTCTGTGTTGGTTAAATACTTGTCCAGAGAAGTTTGGACTGAACCTTCTTAAGTTTAGATCAGGGGTGTCAAATGCGATTTCATTGAGGGTCACATCAGGATTGTATTTTACCTCAGGGGGAGAGGTAGGTGTGGCCAGGGTGGATGTGGCCAGCTCAACATCACTCATGCAGAGGTGCCTATGGTGGCTTGAGTACTTTGCCAGGGAAAACGGGCTCCTGAGCTCTGTTTTTGGCTTTGACAGCCTCCCGCAACCATCTGCCAGTGAAAATGAAGCTCAGGAGGGCTGTGTGCGGCCCTCCCGATCTCAGTTTCCACTAGCAGAGGATCTGCAGGCAGGACCTTCGCTGTTTCCAGGGTGGCCCCACGGGGCCAAATCTAAGCACCCCATGGGCTGGATCCGGTCCCCAGGCCTTGAGTTTGACATCCCTGGTGACCCTCTAGATGAAGCTGTACAGCCTATGGTAAATGGAAGGCAGAAAGTCTTTGTATTAAAATGGATATTTTGAGAGGACCAAGTATAGAAAATCATTATATCTATCATGTTTGTTACATGTGTTCTTTGTAGGAGTTTTTTTTTTTGGGGGGGGGGGATATTTGTTTTTGGTAATGGTAGGATTGAATGCAAAATAGCCTGCCATAAAAATACATTGACCAAATGTGTGTTGTTATATTCAAACATACATGATATTTGCTTGTTGATTTTGGTGTCCCCTCTGTTTGTGAATGATTCTGAGTGGCACAGTGTTATCCATCAGTGATCGATTAGGTTCCTAAGAAGGAAAGCCATATTCCCTTATCAGGCATTTATAATATAAAATGCCATTTGTGATCCCACACAATTGTATGCACAGGAAGGGCCATGAAAAGCTGTAAGAATAGAAAGGAGGAATGTAGACAAGTTGAAAGAAGAATGAAAGTAGAATATGATAGTTTTGAAAATATCCCAGCTAGGTAAGTAGATTGCATTATAACTAATTATATTTTTAATTTTAGGAAGCCCTTACATCTCAGGGCATTTTTACCTTTAAAAATGGCTTGGAAAATTGGGATGCCATCATGTTTTGCTGCCTGATTTTCTCGAGTACTTTTCATTTTATGAGGTAAATCATAGATTGTAGACCTTCTAGTTGATTGAGCACATAGCAAAGTTGATATCTGCAAAAAAAATTAAATTGAATAAAACAACAGTCTATGGATTAGATGTAGTGCATTTTGAAAGGTGGCTCTAGTTACTAGTCAAAAACCTTCCCTTGAATTTAGATTTAAGGATAATTATATTTAAAACAAGTTCTGTTTCTTGATGGGGGAAAATCAGAATAAAGTATGCCATGCCGTTAAATCTTGCATTTGAATGTTTTAGCACAAATTTAATTTCCTGCTCTGTGTTAATCAACATCGTTAACTAAATCTCAAAATTTGTAAGGCTACAGTAGCTACAGTGGAGCAGTGGCACATGTATGTATGTTTTGTATTGCTTCTCAGTGAGGTGATGATATTCCAACAAGGAGCACTTGTGTTTGAGTGAATCTGCCCTAAAGCTTTGACCTTCTTCTGAAGTACTTCATCAAACTTGTGACCGTGTTATTATCTATAAACTGGCACTCATTCAAATGGCTTTTATAAAACTGCAAAATACTATTAGAAAGCTGTTCCATTCAGGAAAGACTAGTTGATTTAGAGTAATCATGTGAGATATGACTCACATAATTTTGTATCCCCATTTCATAGAAACTTAGTAGATAAAATAAGAGACACTTCCTCATGTAAGTATTGCTGCCTAATTGCAATCTTTCTACTTCTTGCTTCTATTCCTGCCTGTATTTCACTCTGACTGCAAGTAATAAAAATCTGTGCATCTGTTTCCCTAGAGTCGAATTCTTTTTATAGCTAGATTCTCTCCTCTTTTTTTGTACTTATTGATAGGTGACGTAGTCCAGTTAGGTATTACCAATTGCTAGCACTAATATTGAAACAGAAGACATCGGATCAATGGCGTGAACAGTGCAGAACTGAGTATTTGATTCTGCCTGTCTAAATATAGCCAGTCTTTTTTATCTGAAATAGGAAAGAGGCCAGGAATGAGTGACTACAGGCATGAAAGTGCAGGAGTGAAATGGAGGTGCCATGGAAGAACCCCAGAACTTGCAGCAGCTAGTCGAACAACAAGGATAGAAGGTATAAGTACTAGGATGAGAAAGAGGATAGCCTTAGAAGTTATGTTAGCTTAATATATAAACCTAATCTGGCGGTGATTTCTTTTGGTTTTTACACATGAATTCCCATAGTTATAACCTGCTTGTACCCACATACACTTGAATCTGTTATACCATACTGTCTCATTTAATCAAGTCCACTATGGTCTTCAGGTGTATTTACTTGTAAATATGTACAATTGTAAATATGTACAATTATTATCCAGTTATTAAGTTACTACTTATTACAGTATGTGGAACCCTTTTTATTCAAAAGTAGCTTCCCTAATGAATATTACTTTTTAAAAATAAGTACAATTTTTTTTTGAAAGAAAGGAAAAGTAATACCAAAGAAGCTTATTACATACACTATATTGCCAAAAGTATTTGCTCACCCATCCACATAATCAGAATCAGTATATAGCTTTTCGATTCCATAACACACGTGTAAATAACAAAAAATTGGAAGGGACCTTGGAGATCTTCTAGTCCAAACCCTGTTCAGGCAGAAAACCCTATACCATTTCAGATAAATGGTTGTCCAGTCTCTTCTTAAAAACCTCCAGTGTTGGAGCACACACAGCTTCTGGAGGCAAGTTGTTCTATTCATTAATTGTTTTAACTGTCAGAAAATTTCTCCTTAATTCTAGGTCTGTTCTCTCCTTGATTAGTTTCCATCCATTGCTTCTTGTCCTGCCTTCAGATGCTTTGGAGAATAGGTTGACCCCCTCTTCTTTGTGGCAGCCCCTTAGATACTGATATTAGATGAATATACACATATTACTATTGCTGTCCTTTGTGGTAGAATTTAAAAACATTTCTCTTATCCAACACAAATCATATATTTTAAAGAGAGAACATAAAACAAAAAAATGTGTATTCTTTACAGAAGCTGCCAGATGTTAAAATGTATTACATTTTTTTAAAAAAAGAGTTAGTTATTTAAAATAATTGGAGCTATTCGTGTTAAAGTCTGTTATAGCAAAAGGGATATTTTTAGCCCATTAAAGATTAGCAAATTTGTTGTAGTTTAAAGTCAGTAAGATGCTGCAAGATAGCATTGGGGTTTTGCAGAAGCATTGGATTTTCTATACACTTTTGTTTTCAGTTTATACTCTGCAAATCCAACCAAATCTAGTACAGTAATACAATATTAGAGACATAGTTGGTTTTCTGTTTTTAAAGTTTCAGCGTCCGTAAAGGAGGCAGCTCATATGGATATGGAAAGACTTTGCCCAATCCGTTCAGAAGAAACTACTTCACCAGGGTCCTCATCTAGTCAAAGAGATCTTCATGGTCCATGCGTAACTGACATAAGCCTTTCAGATGATAGAGTGACCCACATAGAGAGCATTCTTGATCTGTGGAGTGGCAGCCTTAAAGTAGGTAATTTGTGTACTATGTGTTAAATTCTGCGTGGATAACCTGGTTCATTGTATCTTATTTTTCTCAGTCTTTGTCCTGGAATATTATATCCCCAAAGAAATCTCCTACATACGGTTATGTGTGTATATAAAATAAATCTTTAAAAAAATCAAACTTAATATAATCATGTTTAAATTTAAAGCTAGCAAAAAGATATGGGTATAAATGTTGCTGAGATCTTATATGACTGATCACAATCTGATTCTTTTAAGAAATAGCAAAAAAAAAACCATAATCCAGGCTATGCAAGGTATAGAACAAGGAGCTAGAAGCAACATACTGTTTCTCCATCCATTGCAATTGTGTGCAAAATTGTTAATCTAAACTGTTCTTAAATGGTTTGGATGTCAGGTGGCTAAGAAGGCCCTGACCCTTCCTTGTTACTTTTGGAATTCAAAGTGCTTAGAATGCTTTCATTTTAAGTTACATTAAAGTAACTTAAAGTAAAGTAACTTAAAGCTTAGCAGTTACATATACGACCTGAAACTCTACAGAATATAGCAGAAATTTAAATAAATATGTACAGTAAGTCCATATCTTAAACAGAAAATACCGGTATCTTTCTTCTAATTAATTGACTTTCACCTTGCTTTGAATTTGATATAGTAATGTGTAGCAACTATGAAATAGAGCCACCGCCTTCATGTAAGTGGTTACTATTCTTACTGTAAAGAAGTATTTTGTAACTATTGTAACCTTTCTTCCCATAATTTAAATTCATAACTTGTGCCCAGCATTCTGGAATAAGACAGAACATGTATTCAGAACATGTATTTAGTTTCTTTTTCACCTGCTTCCTTTCAGATATTTAAAGAGTTCAGTTGTATCTCCCTACAGTTGCTTTGTTCCAAGGTTAAACATACTAGGCCCTTCAGTCTTTCTTCATAAGATATTACCCTGCTACAGTTACTCTGTACTTTTCCCATTTCTCTCTCCTTTAAAAAGTGCAGTGCCTGGAACCAGGCATAATACATTTAAAGAATGTTGCTACTTAATTGTCATTCATCTTGTTTTGGGACCTAATAAATGTTATTTGAATACTTTCTTCACAAACCAGTTGCCAGAGGAAGGCATATATCCTTTTTTTGTTTCTTGCATATTCCTTAGGATAACATTGATAATTAACATCTGTTGTGGAAACTCAACATTTCAAGTGCAGCACTTTAAACAGTTCTATGTTTTACTAAAAAAACACTTGTGTCCTTAGCCTTTAAAAACTCAGACAGCCTTTAAAAACTCAGTCTGATCTTTATTTGTCTACTAAACAACTCCTTCACTTCTTTTAAGACTAATGTTTTGACTGAGCTGAGGAAATGGAAACTTCATTTTATTGAACATCATACCTTAGAGATGAGACAAGAAAGAGAAAAGCATGCAGCCGATGTGAGACAATTGACTAATCAGATGGAGAACTTGAAGGAATTGCTACATACATATGAAATTTCCTTAGGGAGAAAGGATGAGGTAACAAGTTCTAATTTACTGGAGGAATCTTTACATGGTTCTCATTTTCCTTGTTGGTTACTGTTAAGAACTGCCTTTGCAGCAAGTAATTGTTTGGAGAGCAATATTTCTCTATCCCTGGTCTATGTGCTTAATTTTAATGACCAAGTTCAAACGAATTAATTTCATAGTTAATGTTCTTTATGCATTTTCTAATTTTTTTCAGGTAATTGCAAATCTAACACATGCAATTGAGAAACAAAAGGACAGGATAGAGTTAATGAAAAAATTCACAAAATGGCGACTTCAGCATTTTTTGAACCAACAAAGGGCCAGAGAACAGGTATATATGGATTTGTTCATGTTAATCCATACTTTTTTTAAAAAACCTATTTGAAAAACTATATTTTAAAAAACTGATTATATTATAGTTCTATGTGAAATCCTTCGTCCTCTTTTCTCTAAATAAACTTGTCACAGTAAACTGCATTTGCGTTCAGTCTAAAAATATGTTTTGCGCTTTAGGATCATGTTATGGCTGTTTAGAATTATTTTACAATCATCCCATCAACGTAAAAAATGTTACAACATTATTCATCCCTTTTGGTTTATAATGCCAACAAAGCATAAAATCTGAATTTTAACATGTCCAATGTCAATTCAACCTTTTGTTTGATTTCATGCTGAAAGTTAGGGTTTGTTTATAATTATATTAAGGTTTATACAGTATAAAAGTGCTTTACAGTTACTGCAGTATATATTTCATACTTTTTATCAAATTCTGATATGGTACAACTATAGTACAGGTAGAGTCCTGTTTTGGGAAGAGTTAAATAAAGTGTGGTGAAACTCAGACCTGCTTTGCTGACATTCCTTTCCAGTTGTGCGCAAACAGACTGGCTGATCAGCTGTATAAATTAGTCTTGTTGAGGAAAGTCTGGGTGATTTGGCGATCCAGCTTTAATACAAAATGTAAAGAAACCATGGAAAAGGCTGTTCAGTCAAGTGTGGAAGCTATGCGTGCTGCACTCACCAATGAGTATGAATCCAAACTTCAAACGGTAAGGAACTTTGAATATTTGAGAAAGTTTAGCCTTGAGGAAAGAAGTCTGATATGATAGCACTCAAGGGTGTTATTTAAATTAGACAAAAACTGGTTTTGACAATATTTGACTTTAGGAGAAAGGACCCATAGGATTTACTTCCAGGAAAATTTAAATAGTAGGCAAAGGTGACATTCTGATTATCTGTTCCATAAAGCAAAATGACAAGTAAATAAGAAAACAGTAAACAGCCTACACTTATGGTTTTCTTTTGGGTGCAAGACTGAGCCTCATCTCCAAGTGGGAAAGGGTATACAATTTTGGGAAGGAGGCATTCTGCTTGAACTCATCCCATTTACCATTGTAGTCACACAATTTCTGGTACTGTTTCATCTTTTTTAAAAAAAAACATAGAATATTGTTCCCTTCCCTTACAGCAGTCAAGAAACAAAAAATTATTGTAACTCAGTTCTGATTCCATTTTACTTCTTTCTTTTATGTAAAGGAGACCCAATTAACTGCAATTTTCCCTCCTCTCAAACTTTTATCAAATATGCTAGGTAATTGTCATTAATTAAATGTTTTTATTTCTTGGTTTAGGTAACTAGTTCACTTGAGGAGGCCAGATCTGAAATTATTGAATTGCAGAACCAGAGACAAGATTATGAAGATGCCATGAAGAAGGCTTTCATGCGGGGTGTCTGTGCACTGAATTTAGAGGCAATGAGCATGTTTCAGAGCAAAGATTTCAAACTTGACCAGGGTTCGTATTATGAGGGGAATGAAAGGTTGTTAGCATGCTGGCCTTATGTCAACGAGTAATCTCTGCTGATTTCCCTAATGTGGTAGATGTGATAGGACAACAGTGCCCAGAATTCCTCAGCAAGTTGAAAAAACTGAACTGATGTAAATTTTTCAGGTTTTCTAACCATACTGTACTTTTATGGAGGATTAACAGTGATGCCTTGGGGTTAAGAGGCCAGTGAAGGAAATAGAAATATGTAACGTATATTCTAAGTTTCACTTTTGTGCTAGAAATAAATGGATTTTAAAATTTTCATGGGATCTATCTGTAGAGAATTATAACTTCCACAAATAATGAGGGACCAAATCAATACTTTGTCCCCCCTTTTAAACCATTTTATCACCTTTTGCTTCCTTGAAAGAAAAAAAAAGTGTTTTTCCCTCAGTTTCAGAGGAATTACATACTTTTCAATTATACTGAATTTTTTTTCATAGATTTGTGACCGAGTTTATTATGCTGTCAGCATAATTCTAAATACTTTCTGACTTTCTCCTTCAAGAACTGAACACTTCACGCACTGTGGCTTAAGGGGTGCTTTTACCTCCCCCCCACATGTTTTGAAATGTGAAACCAGCCCCCACCTGGCCCAGCAACCAGGTCCAGCATGGTGAAAAGACTGTTTTGGTGCACTGAGGCTCAGGGGTTGCTTTTAGCTTTTATTTTATTTTTTGCAGTTGGAAGTCAGCCTGGCCCATCAGTTAGATCAAGCATATTTCGTCAGCAGCAGGAGCAAGTAAACAGTGAAGGTCAGCCGGACTGATGGGATGAAGGGCTGCAGGGGTGTTAAAGTGTAGGATGGCAAAAAAAAACGCTTTGGTGCACTGAGGCTCAGGGGCTGCTTTTAGCTTTTATTTTATTTTTTGCAGTGCGAAGTCAGCCTGGCCTATCAACCAGATCCAGCATGTTTCGTCAGCAGCAGGAGCAAGTAGACAGTGACGGTCAGCTGGGCTGATGAAACTCAGGGGTCTTCAAGTGCAGGGTGGCAAAAAAGCACTTTGGTGCACTGAGCTTCACAGGCTGCTTTTAACTTTTTTTTAAACTTCATTCAGGCCCATCAACCAGATCGAGCATATTTCGTCAGCAGCAGGAACAAGTAAACGGTGAAGGTCCGTGGGTTGGTGGAACACAGAGCTGCAGGAATCTTGGAGTGTAGAATATTGGAAAAAGTATTTTGGTATAAGTGAGGTTCCTGGGTTGGTTTTAGCTTTTCTTTTACTTGTTGCAGTGAGAAATCAGCATACTCCTGGCCCGTCAAACAAACCGAGCATGTTTCGTCAGCAGCAGGAGCAAGTAAATGAAGAAGGTCAGCTAGGTTGATGGAAAAACAGGGCTGCAGGGATCCTTGGAGTAAAGGATGGCAAAAAAGTGTTTTGGTGCACTGAAGCTCCTAGGCCGGTTGTAGCTTTTATTTTATTTTTTGCAGTGCGAAATCCATTCCTGCCTGGCCCATCAGTTAAATCAAGCATATTTCAGCAGCAGGAGCAAGGAGACGGGGAAGGTCAGCTGGATTGATGGGATGCAGGGATCTTGGAGTGAAGGGTGGCAAAAATGTCTTTAAGTGCACTGAAGCTCCTAGGCTAGCTTTAGCTTTTCTTTTACTTTTTGCAGTGAGAAATCAGCTTCATCCTGTCCCATCAAACAGACCGAGCGTGTTTCGTCAGCAGCAGGAGAAAGTAAACGGTGAAGGTCAGCTAGGTTGATGGACCGCAGGGCTGCAAGGATCTTGGAGTGAAGGATGGCAGAAAAGTGTTTTGTTGCACTGAAGCTCCTAGGCTGGCTTTAGCTTTTCTTTTACTTTTTGCAGTGAGAAATCAGCATAATCCTGGCCCGTCAAACAGACCAAGCATGTTTCGTCAGCAGCAGGAGAAAGTAAACGGTGAAGGTCAGCTAGGTTGATGGAACGCAGAGCTGCAGGGATCTTAAAAGTGTAGGATGGCAAAAAAGCACTGAGGCTCAGGCTTCTCTTTTTTGCCGTGCGAAGTCACCTTCAGCCTGGCCCGTCAGTGAAGGGTAACAAAAACATTTTTTATTGCACTGAAACTCCTACACTGGTTTTAACTTTGATTTTATTTTTTGCAGTGAGAAATCCTCTTCAGCCTGCCCCATCAGTTAGATCAAGCATATTGCAGGAGCAGGAGCAGGAGCAAGTAATCGGTGAAGGTCAGCTAGGTTGATGGAACGCATGGCTGCAGAGATTTTGGAGTGAAAGGTGGCAAAAAAAGGTGTTTTGGTGCACTGAAACTCTTACACTGGTTTTAGCTTTTATTTTATTTTTTCCAGTGAGAAATCCTCTTCATCCTGTCCCATCAGTTAGATCAAGCATATTTCAGGAGCAGGAGCAGGAGCAAGTAGTCGGTGAAGGTCAGCTAGGTTGATGGAACGCAAGGCTGCAGGGAACTTGGAGTGAAGGGTGGCAAAAAAAGTGTTTTGGTGCACTGAGGCTGATAGGCTGCTTGTCACTTTTCTTTTTTGCAGTGAGAAATCAGCATACTCCTGGCCCATCAAACAGACCGAGCATGTTTCGTCAGCAGCAGGAGCAAGTAAATGATGAAGGTCAGCTAGGTTGATGGAACGCAGGACTGCAGGGATCTTTGGAGTGAAGGGTGGCAAAAAAAGTGTTTTGGTGCACTGAAGCTCCTATGCTGATTTTAGCTTTTATTTTATTTTTTGCAGCACGAAATCAGCTTCAGCCTGTCCCATCAGTTAGATCAAGCATATTTCAGCAGCAGGAGCAAGGAGACGGTGAAGGTCAGCTGGGCTGATGGAATGCAGGGCTGCAGGGGTCTTAAAGTATAGGAAAGCAAAAAAAAGCACTGAAGGGCAGGCTCCTTTTAGCTTCTCTTTTTTGCAATGCGAAGTCAGCTTCAGCCTGGCCCGTCAGCCGGATTGAGCAGGTTTCATCAGCAGCAGGAGCAAGAAAATGGTGAAGGTCAGCTGGGCTGGTGGAATGCAGGGGTCTTAGAGTGTAGGGGCAGCCAGGGTAACTGGGACTGAGCTAAGGCAGTTGCAGCTTCCTGGGATGTGTGGCAAGCAGCCGCAGAGCCACATAGTTTGGGTGCTGCTTGCTGCCTGCAAGGCAGAATGCAGGTTGGCCAAAGAGGCTGGGGGTGGCAAAAGGTGGATGGGGAATTTGGGGGTACTCACTTCCCTCCCTGAGCTTGATCCCACTCAGCCGCAGGCTCAGAATGGCTTATATTGGAGCCCATAATGTGAATCAGTGCTTTCCTTTTTTATTTCTCTTCCTAAGGGAAGGCTTTTTTTTAAACCTGAAATAATTAATTGACCACAGGGTGGCACTCCAATACTTTATAACATTCAATGGCAAGAATACCACAGGTGTATATATACTGTATATAGTCTTCAGCTTAAAGACCACAACTGGGACTGAATTTTTGTCACTAAGCTATGTGATAGTTAAACAAATCACCAGGTGACCGGAATCACGTGATCATTAAGTGGATCACACAGTTGTTAGCAAATCCCGCTCCCCCAACTGATTTGCTTGTCAATTCACAGTCACATAAGACATTGCAGCCCTCAGAAGTGCCAGCCATCATGAGATTGCCGTGGTGTTGCAATGGTTGCAATTTTGGAGACAGGTCATAAATCACTTTTTCTGACACCGTCATGACTGTTAAACAATCAGTCACAAACCAAGGACACTCCTGCTTTCATTAAAACTATGCCTCAAGGCTGCTCATTAATGATAGTAGCCAGGGGTGGGATTCAGCCATTTTGGACTGGTTCGGGCAAACCAGATGCTAATTTTGCACCTGGTTTGCCGAACCTGTACTTTGAAGGACTGGCTGGCCCTGCCCACCTCACTCCACCTCTCCCAGGGGTCTCCACGCGGCCCATTCATCATGCCAGGTAAGTGCAGGGCCCACGTGGAGGCTCTAGGAGGTAAAAAAACTGGCCTCCCAGTAGGTCCAGAAACAGGACTGTTTCCAGCCTCTAGAGGGCCTCAGGAGCCCAGGGGAGACTATTTTCACCCTCCCGAAGGCTCGAGAAAAGCCTCCAGAGCCCTGGGAGGGCGAAAATGCCCCCCACCCTGCCGCCATGGTGCAGGAGTCCGAGTAGGCCATGCCCCCATGACCATGCCCACTCAGTAACCGGGCAGAGAACCGGTTGTTAAAAATTTTCATTCCTACCCCTGATAGCAGCCCCATACTTTACTGTGTCTTTGTATGTATGCCATAGTTAATGCCAGAAGAATAAGAAATACCATAAGACAGTTGTTCCCACCAAACGTCCTCCTTGTGAGAAAATGACACTTTGTAGACAAAACTTGGAGAGAAGATTATCTTCCTCCATAAATTTCAAAGGACCCCATGGGAGTGAAATGCTAATATTGCTACATATAGTTTAACTCTGGATTTCTAATTGCTGGAGCATGGAATAAAGTGAAGCTTTTTGAGGAAATAATCCTCTGGAAGCTTGGCTGATTTGCATGAAACATTAAGATCGGACTATGTATTTTGTCCTAAATCTATTTTATTATTTATTTATCTATTGAACAAATTTATAGGGCTGCCCAATTCATACACAGTTTTTGGCCTGCTTACAACATTCCACGTTGTAATTTTGCAATTTTAATGTTTGCTAATATTAATTTGGCAATGCTGTAAGCCAATTTTACTTTTGATAGTTTATTAAGTGTCTTAATACAGATAATCCTTGACTTACAACACTGAAAAAAGGAACTTCTGATCATTTGTCACACTTAGGACCATTGCAGCATCCAATGGTCATGTGATCAAAATTTGTATGCTTGGCTACTGGTTTGAACTTATAACATTTGCAGTGTCATAAATATGTTCAATGTTTGCAACCTTCTGACAAGCAAAGTCAATGGGGAAGCCAGATTCACTTAACAAACTTGCTATTAACTTAACAACTGCAGTGATTTATTTAAAAACTGTGGCAAGAAAGATTGTAAAATGGGGCAAAACTCACTTAACAAATGTCTCACTTAACATAAATTTTGGGGTGAATTGTGGTCAAAAGTCAAGGACTACCTGTACTGCCATAAGTTGGATGGCACCTTTATAAAACATGTATGTTATTTATGTCTTTACATTCCTTCCTGCACAATAGTTTTTCATTCTTAGGAATAGCCATTCCTTGATCTTTCAATAAATATCTATTGAGTAGCGCTTCCTTTTCGTTTTAATCTCAAATTTATCTTAATCTGGAAAGATGTTGCATTGAACCTTAAATCTTATCCACTTCTCCATGAAACAAAACCATAGTATTTTTTATACTGACTACTCATTATGTGTATGTCTCCTGTTTTTAGGCCAAATCAGTTCCCTCCTGCCCCAACAGTTGTTCCTTTAAAATTGTGTATATTTGTTTGTGTGAAGAACATATTGTGCATCAAAAATAGCAAAATTAAAAACATAATGATAAAAGGGAGGGGGAAATGCAACACATAAATACACACGAATTATTGCTTTATCTAACATCCAATCTACAGGGTAAATTAAAATGTCTTTATAATTTGTGCCCAAACCCCTCAACATAGATGGTAGGAAAATGAGTTTTTCAATTTAAATATACATTTAAAATCTATTTGGACTTGATTAGCTTCCAACTATTTTGGATCAGGGAATAATACACACACACACACACCACAGGGTAACTCTTATTATATCTAATTCCCCTATATTGAATTTAGATTCTGGTCTTTCTTGGCAAAGACCTAGTAAGGTTACCTATTAAACCTTAGAACCTATCTGAATAAACTATCAAGTACATATAATTTTAAAACAGCCACTATACCATACTGAATAAATATTGTAGGAATATTTTTAAATTAAGATGGCAACAAATAGGCCTGATAATTTCTGTAAGTCTCTGTATCGGGAAGTAAAAATTATACAGCTTTTAAAAATGTTATACAATTCTGCACTTTTCAGTTTTGTTTGCAAAATTATATAGATACATAGTTATATACAGCGTTCCGTGCGCCTTCAGCCTTTAGTCATGCCAGCCACATCACCAGAGAGACATCTTCAAACAGTGTTGGCTCTTCAGCTTTGAAACGGAGATGAGCACCGCCCCCTAGAGTCGGGGAAAAACTAACAGATATGTGCGAGGAGAACCTTTACTTATAGTTATATAACAAAAATAGATATATACTAACTCAGTATTAGCAATATTTATCCCTTTGTTATTTTGTTAAGTTCTGAATGTTTGTTAATTTGTTTATAGTAGTTGATCTACCAGAAAAAAGAGCAGAATCTGGTGCTGGCACTGGTGGACCTACAGCAAAATTTTCTTCATTTCAGCCTATGCCATCAATGTCCTCACTGCCACAACCACCACCTCATTTTGCTCCAACGACAGCTGGGTCTGCTCCTGCAGAAGATCTGGTAAGCATTCATTTAACACTAACCTTGATCAGTAGCTGATTTCAACTCCATTTAACTGAATCTCAGGGCAGTTTAATAAATAAATCAACATTACAGAGCTATTGGGCCTGAGAATCAAGACAATATGTTAATATTAATATTTTGAATTAGGAAACGGGTGATATGTATTTCATCTAAATCAGACTATTGCAATTTTCTTCCTGCTGTTTTGCAGTTTTCTTCTCACCAAGGCCATGCTGTAACATCCCAAACCAGATTAGACTCTGCTGCTGCAATAACCTGCGGTGCTGCGACAGGATCAGGCGCAAAGTGCATTGCAAAACTGGTAATAAAAAACCCCCAACAACATTACTTTATTTTTTTAACCACCTTGTTTCCCTGAAAATAAGACCTCCCCAGGATAATAAGCCCAATCGGGCTTTTGAGCACATGCACTAAAATAAGGCCTCCTCCAAAAATAAGCCCTCCCTGAAAATATTGCAACGCAGCAGCCATGAGGTGACCACGCTCACTGCCTCTTGCACCTCAAAAATAATAAGACCTCCTGGAAAATAAGGCCAAGCGGGTCGGGAAAAAAAGACCCTATCTTATTTTTTGGGAAACACGGTATTTTTCTTCTCCACACAATTAATGGGAAATTTTTCTATAGAAGTCACAAACTGTTTCTGGAAGCTACAAGTTTAATTAAAATGTTATAATTCATTTTTATGCCATTTTTCAACCAAAGTTGAAGATCGATTCAAGCGTGTGAAAATATTAAGCGACCATTCATGTGATCCTCGGCATATGACAACAGTTGGGACAGGAATTTCCATTGCTAAGCAACTGCATCTCTTAGCTATCTCTAAGCAAAGTCCTGGTTGTTGTGGTTAAGTGAATGCCATGGTTGGCAAGGCAACTTCCTGTCGGCTTTTCACAACCAAAGTCATTGGGGAAGCCAGCAGGAAGTTGCAAATCCCAGGCAGGCAGGTTCATGGCTGTTGCCAGATGGAGAAGGTAAAGATGGATGTGGTAAGAATGTGCCAGGATGTGGTATGGGTTGGGAAGGATGCATGGGATTGTTGCGCAAATCAAGGTTACACAAAGGTGTGACATGGTTTGGGGAAAGTGCAACACAGGTTAGGAAGTGGGTGTGGGGTGTGAGTGAATGGCCAGTGCAGCATGAAAGCAGAGAAGAGAAGAAGATGTACTGGCGGAAGAGGCTTACCCCAGGGACTTTTGACTTTCCCTGCCAGCCTGCCTATTGATTTTCTGAGAAGCTGGCAGAGAAGGTTGCACATAGTGATTACATTACATGATTGCAATGCAAAGCAATTGGCTATAAGTCCAAATCAACTGCTAAGCTCCAAATTGTGGTCACATGACCATGGAGGGGTGCTGGGATTGCTGGAACTAACCACCATTTTGCTCAGTGCCATCTTAACTTCAGTCTCTGAATGAATGATCATAGGTGAAGGATTAACCTATATGTCCATTTTCTTATAACAGTCAGTTCTTGCAATAGGGGAAGACAAAAATGCCTGTTGTTGAATCACTGGTGTTGACTCGATAACAGCTTCCTTGTATTATCAGTTAATCGGTGCTGCCCTTTCAATGAAATATTAGGAATCTCTCGAAAGTGAAATTCTAGACAAGAAATGAGATCAATGAACTGCTGCAAAATATGATAAGGAAAAGGACCCTGAAGGTGTGAATGCCTCTGAAATATTTACTTTTGGTGAAGAGGGCACCAGAAGCTTTCATAAGGCTAATGTCCCCAGGGTTTCCTTTCTAGCTCAAAAAATTTCAAAAATTCTAGTAGCTCTAGTAATTAGGGGTTTTTGTTTACCTAGAAATAAAGCTAGTGGGCTACAATGGAATCTTCTAGTCACCTTTTCTGAAGAAATGCTTATGTCATGATACAAATCCATAATCTACAAATAGGACCGTATTTCCAATTATCAAGACTAATAGAAAGAATATGCCCCATTGTTGTAAGAATATGCTGTTAGTATTTAATGAACCAGGAACCAAAAACTTATATATTCAGTTTTTCCTAGCCAAAGATAAGGAAAAATAATATTAAGAAGTCTAGCTGATAATTTAAAACTGCTCTGAGAAGTGCAATGTGTTTCTTATATAATTGGGATTTTTATTTTGATTGCCACAGCCCATGACGAGGGTGGTGACATCTGCTCAACAAAAGCCTGGAAGGACAGTCACTGCGAAAATCACCGGTCGTTCAGATTTTTCAGGAAAGAATCGTATTTGCAGTAACTTAGATGTCTTGGGTGTTTCGCCTCCCATGAATTCTGTTGTGGTGGAGAAACATCATCCTGTCACTCAGGTAAATGAGTTCTATGAATAAGTTCTGGATTTTATGTCTGACTTTTGCTTTAGGATTCTTATCAGAGTTATTGTGGAAGTTCAGATTAAAAACGCTTACTGATTTAATTTGTCTACACTTTTAGGTTACTGTATTTTGTCTAGCATGTGATGGAATTCTATATGTCCTATTAGGCAGGTACTGACCAATCAACCAAACATTGTGATAGTAGATAAGGAGTGGAAGATTAATGTAGCAGGTCCAAGTGAAGCGGAGTACATCTAAAAGCTGGAAAAGTACCAGGGTCTGAAGGAGGAATTAGAGAGAATGTGAAAAGAAAAGACCAAAATGATCTCAGTATTGGTAGAAATATTTGGGACTGGGGTTCCTAAGCTAGGCGAACTCTGATGTTGATCCCAGAATCAACATCAGAGTTTTCTGCCCAAAATAATGCAGTGTAAGAAACAGTTAAGATACTTCATAGAACCATCAAATTCCAGGCCTTTGATAGAGGGTCCAAGATTGAATAAGACACAACCATCCAAAGATTGAAAGAGGAATTAAGTCTATATGAAAAAAGCTCAAGAGGGATTTATGAATTTGGAAATAAATCAGCATGATGTGTATTTGGTTTTGGTATTTCTCGATATTCAAAGGTATATATTTTGTCAATTTCAAGAGTTATAAAAATAAATAGGAAGGAACCCCAAATAGCTTGTGTGATCGCTGGGGAGTCTTGAATTTGGAATGTCAGTTGGAAGCAAGAAACAGGAGACTGGATGGGATGTATCCTAATGCTTCCTTGCACTCTAAAGAGACTGTTCTGTTAACTGGAATGTGGAAATAGGAACATACGGAAGGTGCCAAATTAATTTTGAGGTTTTTCAAATGTAGTTAGGAAAAAATGCTGGTCTGAAATGTTTCCAGCTATTAAGAAGACGACGGAGGAACCAGGTTGTCTGATTTCGTATGAGAGAAATACCAATGGGGATAGTTCCTCTGCTTCCAGAGTAATCATATGCTTCCATTTTCAGTTTGATTTCCATTATGTATATTAAGAAAGGATAGTGTCTCTCAAACTCAGATGAGAACATAGGGAACTGGTGATGGAGTCTTCCTACACTGTTCTTGTACCCCCTCATGAATTTGACCTCATTCGACAACTGGTATTATAGGAAACAGTTGAAAACTAAGGAGAAATGTCCCCCAAGAGGGTCAAGACTAGAGAAAATGAATGGAACTTGTGGAAGCCAACAGGCTAGATACTTTTGCATTCTAGATCTGAATTGGAATTCAGCCCTGAATCCCAACTAAATCTTAAGTACCTTTTTATTGTATAATGGTACACCAGAGTACAAGCGCCGCCTAAGAGAAGGCCTGTTTAATACTGACCAGGATGACATTGTCATCTTGTGGCAACATATAATTAATAATTGGCCAGTTCTTCATTACAAGCTAAACAGAATTTTCTAGCTTCTTTGATGTGTGATATCTATCTTTTTGCTCTCCTCACATTTTGGTATATTCACAGCAGTGGTGGGTTCCGGATCCCATTCCAGCCGGTACGGTTGGAACGGGCCCGGTGGCGTCCACATGGACGCGCACAGCGCTTGCGCACACACACAGCAAGCACATGTGTCTTAGCATCTCTGCAAGCCTCTGCGACGCACCAGCTGCTCCGCGGAGCATCACACAGGTGCTGTACGTGGCAAGCGCAGAAGCCTTAAAAGACAGGTAAGGAGCTCAGGCGGGTGGGTGGGTGGGCCTTCCGGAGCACCGTACTGGAACAGTATCCGGTGCTCCGGGCAGGTTCCGGTACGCCCATACCAGGGCGTACCTCCTGCAACCCACCACTGATTCACAGATTTGCCTGTTAATTAGTTTCTTTTCTATCAGTTTCTTTTAAAATGATGCTGTAAAGAAAAAAAAGGAAGTCAAGAGAAAGCTTTTGAAAGCAATATCTCAATTCATTTTAAATAAATAAATGTGGACATAACTTTGTGACAGGTTATAAACTAGTATTACTTCTACCATCTGGGACCAGGCAAATTTTGGCTTGTTAATATTCTTGCTGTTGATGGGTCGAGTTCAGTGTAGCAGGCCTAGCTGCCCTCATTTCTCTGGCTAGACCAGGGGTGTCGAACTCGATTTCATTGAGGGCTGCATTAGGGTTGTGTTTGACTTTGGGGGGCGTGGCCAACTCGACATCACTTGTGTTGAGAGCATCTGTGGTGGCCCAGGTGCTCTGCAAGCTCCGTTTTCGGCTGAAATGGCATCCTGCAACCCTCTGCCAGTGAAAATGGAGCAGAGGAACCGTGGGCCGGTCCTTTGCTGTTTCCAGAGCAGCCCCATGGGCCAGATCTAAGCACCCTGCGGGCCAAATCCGGCCCCAGGGCCTTGAGTATGACACTCCTGAGCTAGATGATGCTGGTTGTAGGATGGCCCCATGTTTGCTTTACTCCTTGTGATGTTTCTATTGGGAGACTGGATGTGAACTCCCAGTGATCTTTGGAAACCTGACTGTGTTTGCAAAGACGAGACGAAATTCCTTCCTCTTCTATGTTCCCATGGCAACTCATCATAGCACTTGAAACATGTACATTACACTTTTATTATTAGATCCAACAAGATATGAGATTTATAGTAGGTGAGGAAGGGCCGAAGTTTTGCTTTTGAGGAGAATCCTATGCTCATTTTTAGATTCTCTACAAAAGAGCTGCGGCTATGTGAAAAGGCGGAAAAATTTTCATTTCTATGGGCTGACACAGGGAAGTCTGGGGGATGGTTACAATAGATTATTACCACTCCATTTCCAAATGAAAGCAGGGGATATTTGCTTCATTGCATAACTAGGTGCTAGAAATAATTACTTCTTCCTATAGCTTCAGCCATAATAATCCACATCTAAAATGGCCCAGAACAACAGAAAATTGTAGTGTTAAGGCAAGTGGGTTGCTGGATGATTTATGTATGGAGGATTTTTGATTTTTTGTGGTGGTTTGTTTTTGCTTCAAGAATATCTTGAGAAAAGCTGTTAATATGGATTCTCAGACTATCTAGGTTATAGTTTGTTTTAAATGGGAGTGCTGAAACCTGTTCAGCAATATTGTTTGACTAGACAGGTTTAACTGGTTTATTTAAAAAGCTTGGAGTGGCTTAGCAAAATCAGGGTATTGCCGGAGTTATGGAACAACTTCTGACAAGCCCTGGCCATGTTTGTCCTTTGTGTTCGATTTTTTTTATATTGTTAAAATTATTTTAACTTAATGGAATTAAATATGCTTATATATTTCAGCAAACTATATCTCAAGCTGTTGCTGCTAAATATCCTCGAACTATGCACCAGTCTTCTAATGCTATTGGTGTGAGACATTTGGGACACAATGGGAAAACTCCTGTCCAAAGTCACAACAACATCCAGTCAATAAAGGTAGTGGAGTAGGTTAGCCGGTTGAAACGCCTGTACTTTATTTTAAGCACATGAAGAAAGTTTTCCAGGTTATTGTTTAAAATGTGCTCCCTGGTGTTTGCAGATTAATGGAATAATAACCCAAGATGCATCATGTTTTTCCTCTCAATAATATTGTACATATAGAGATATTTGAAGTGTAAAAAGTGTGCCACTGAAGATGGCACAATGTAGTTCTGTGTAACTGCAAATAAGGTATACTTGAAATTTTTACTTTCTTAAAACTTATTATATATCCTTATTTAATGTTTTTAATAAAAATGAAGCATTGAGCTTGTATATTCTAAAAGGTATTTCTGCTTTATATGTGAACGAGAGTATAGATCATTTTGCCACATTCTGAACTGCTATCTAAATATAGTAATATAGTAATCAGACTTTGATATTCAGACATTTTTTGGTTCTGCTATATTTTATCTTCAGCCATTCATAGAACAGGAACATACATAGAAATTTTACTTTGTGCAACATAAAACTGGTTTATTAGTCTTACTCCACTATGGAACCGTATACAAATTTAAGCACTTATTGCTGTTGCTGTTTACTATGGTGGGAATCCAGTTGTATGTTTCCATTAGTATTATTCACTGACATCTCAACCCCATTTGTACTTTCACCAATTATTCTAAAGCTCTCTCAGGCGTGGCTCTTAAGAATGTACAAAAATACCCCACCCCGAAGAGAAAAGGACTGTGACATTAGATACCTTAATACCCTAAATCTAGATGAATAAATAAATGCCAATATTTATGTAAAATAGCAGTGTGGTCAGCCTTCTCCATATTGGGAACAATTTTTCCCATTGCAATTTGCAGTGGGAGCAATGAAGATTTGCAGTTTTATGTTAATGGATTTTATCTTTTAGCTCCAAATACTGCTCCATTCTTGCTATCTCTTATGCTAAGGGACCTCAGTCAGGAGTAAACACAATAGAATGTGGGAACTGAGGTCAGTGTTTAGAAGTAGACAAAGAAGCAGCAATGAAGAAAGTAGTGGCTGTGGTGTGCTAATGATGCTTTACTAAAGATCTCTCAATCTGAGCAGTTGCCATGATTCTTCCAGTCATATTGGCCACTTTTAGTGATCAAATAGATGCACCAATAGGGAAAAACAACCTGCTACATCAACTTGCTTCTCCCTAAGGTAATTCTTAAGTATACGTCATTTGTACACCTATTACTAAATGGCTAACTGCAGCATGAGGAGGTAATCTGCGTTTGTAAAATGGATGCAGGAGCTTAAGTAATAAAGCAGAGGTAATGAAAGTGATCAGACAAGTAATATACTATGGATTGGGCCATGTAGCTATTCAAGCTGAAAAGGAAAATGTGATCAGGGTATGTTAGCCATGTTAGCACCTTAGATGCATTTTTTGTATCTCAACAAAACACATAGCTGACATTATTACATTTACAGTCCTGTGCACTCAAATCACTTTTTCGCCTTCAAATCTGAATGGCTTCAGCTGTATCTTACGTGTAATATGTTCAGGACCAAACCATATTTACTGGGAAGTTTTTTTTGTTACATGCAATAATTGTTGATAAAGGGGCAAATGTGGTTTAAATTGACACCAGGAATACTAAACACTATGTTTATTTGCCTCAGATTCCTAATTTCTAAGGTACAGTATATTATAAGACTATAAAGTCTGCCTCAGATTGAGCTTAGCTCCTGATGACCACATGGAGACATCCATGACAATAGCATGAAGTATTTTACCATGACCCATTTCATTCATTCATATACACACTCACTCACACATGATATTCTCATTTGGGGGTAAGCCAAGTCTCAAAAGAAATAAATAATAAGCAAAATAGGTTTGAGGCAGAAAATAGTGAAAAACAAATCTCTGTTTTCTCATATTTTCTATCCTTGCGCACCAGCTTTAATTTCTTGTTTTCTAATTTTCTGTTCAAGCATTCTTTCTATGTAACTTTATTACCAAATAAATGTGCCTAGGATTGCAATTTAAATATATATTACATTCAAGGATGCACTTTTTTTTCTTGGTATGGCTGTCTGCCATATTTCCCTGTACAGAATTCTACTCAAAAGAGTCTCAAACACAAAGTCAATTTGATTATGTGATGACGGTGTTTGAAGACAGAGTTTGTCTTATCCTTTTAAATCCAACTTCATTTGTTTTGTTCATAATACAATGTGCTACTGTTTTCACATGAGTGTTCTTAGAAAATATTTTATTTAAAATATCAAAGAAGTATATTTGTGGAAGCAATGTGACTATCATATCAAGAAATATTTAATTCTGGAAAAAATAGAGTGAAGCAGTATTATGTACAGATTTATGGCAGAGTTGCTCATATGCCCTCAGGTGCAAGTGGATTCCTACAGGAGTTATCAGCCATACACAGAAGTAAAAAAAAAAATCTATAATTGACTGGAATTATTTTCAAGCAGATCTTCAGCTACTGCCACGTTCATTTCCCCACTGCTTTTGTAACCCAAGAAGTCACATAACCCCATATTATTTTTCCACCTCCAAATATAAGTCACTCATGCTGAGTGGGGTATGGCCACTCAAAATTTTAAAAAATGAATCAGAAAGCTGGAAATTTCTGAATGGTGAAGTGGGATTGAAAAAAGCCAATGGAAGTGGAAAAGTCCTAGTTAGCATGGGGATGGAAAGTTGATGGGGTGGGAGATATTACAGAAATGGTGAGAAGATAAACTTACTTTATAGAGAAACATTGGAGAATTTAGTTATAAATAATATTTTAATACTTATTTATTATCCTATTTCATTGCTTCAGATTTCCTTGAATTTCATGAAACGGAACATTTCTTGGATTCTGTGCCAGCATTATTTTCTGCTCTGAATTTTTCTGCAAGAGGAAATGTTCTTGTTAGAAATCAGAAAACACACATATGCCTTTAATCTTTTTAAGGTATGAATAGGTTCAGGCATACAAAGTTTAATAATATACAAAGTTTAGTAGCTACTCAAAATCATCTGCTGCAATTTTAAACAAAATATATATGTAGTTATTTAAAATTAAACTAAAATTATTACAGATTTATGAAGCTGATAGAAACCCCTCTCAAAATAAAACTGGCTTCTTTGCTTTTATTGTACTAAGAAATATATTGACAAACTTACTGCCACCTTGTTTCTTATATGCTTACGGAGTCAACAGGCTTTTCAGTTGCAATTCTGTGCTTGTCTAAAATCTATTAAACACACTGGGTTTTGCCTAGAAATATATTCATGCATCCATAATTAAAGATAGTCCTTGACTTACAACAATTCATTTAGTGACTGTTTGAAGGTACCAACAGTACTGAAAAAAAGTGACTTATGGCCATTTTTCACACTTATGACCCTGGCAGCATCCCCATGGTCACATGATTTACATTCAGATGCTTAATAGCTGGTTCATATTCATGATGGATGCAGAGTCCCAAAGTCATGTGACCATCTTTTGCAACCTTTTGAGAAGCAAACTCAACAGGGAAGGCAGATTCACTTAACCATCATGTTACTAAGTTAACAACTGCAGTGATTCACTTAACAAATGTGGCAAGAAAGTTCATAAAATGGGGCAAAACTTGCTTAACATATTTCTCACTTGGCAACATAAATTCTGGGCTCAATTTGGTTGTCATGTCAAGGACTACCTATATTTACAGCCTTGTTTTATTTGTTAGAAATTTTGATTACACTTCTCCCTGTCCAGCATATTTATGTTGCCCCCCCCCCTTCTTTTTTTTTGCTTAAAAGAGCATGTTCTCCCTCTCTGCACTGCCTCTCCATTTTTGTATTTGATTTATATCCCCCTTTCATTCAGCAGCATACTCGGTGCTCTCTCTCCTATTTCTCTCCATTACAAACCTTCGTGTAGTAGGTTGCACTGAGTAAGTGAATGGTCTCAAGTCACCTAGTCATGCTGGCTGGGGAATTCTGAAAATCCACAAGTCCACATGTATTAAAATGGCTAAGGTTGAGAAAAATAGGTCTAGAGACTCTTCCTGTTTGAAATATGGAACCTCCTGGCTTTTACCATAGCAAGCTATTCTGCTGGAGCAGGACTGGATAGCAAGAACTAGATAAATAATGTCATTTGGTTCATCATGTGGAAACAAGCTGCTTCAAGTGTTTTTAAGGGGCTTCTCACTATGAAGTATTGTTTGAAGACCCTTTCAGGTAAGAGCATGTCTCTTAAATCAGCTGTCTAATCTAACTTTGCTTGTCCTGAATGTTTTCCAAAAGGGAAAGATGAATTTCTCTAACAAGCTCTAAGGGTGATGCTTCTACAACAATTGCTCACCAGCGAGTTGTTGAAATCCCAGAGTTATCAGATCCTCATATAAATGTTTAATAGGATTCTGGCCAGCAATCAGAACACCGTGTAACCAGATAAGAAACATTCTGTGTCCATGTTCCTTGTAGCTCTTTCCTCCTAGAGGGTAATATACAAAATGTTAGCCTACTGTTTGAAGTAATGCTTCTATGTTACATTTTTGGCTGCAAAGATTTGTTCCAAGAGTTACCTAAATCCTTGAATTTTTTTGTTGGAAAGGGAAGGTGGAAGAGATTAGTAGGGGTAGAACATAATGAAGATCAGGCCTATTAACCCTCTTTTGTTCCCTCCACTAATTCTTATAGGAAAATATGAAGAGATCTACTAATACAGAGATTGCAAAGACAGAAATGTTGAGGACAATATACAAATGAGACATAAAAAAACGGATGACGTTAGTCCTTTTGTATATTAAAAAGCTTTAGTAAACTGTTATTCAGACCCCCTCCACGAAATGTTATTTTCCTAAATTGCTTTTGCTATCTAGAATGGAAGTTATGGGAGTATCTTTCTGTGGGTGAGGCAGTTGTTTTGGCAAGTATGATTTTTGAGAAAATAGTAACAGGAACAGAAAGGATTAAACAGCTTTGGTGTTCTGATCTACAGTTGGATATTCATTTGGGAAAGTTCTATTGTCCCTCTCCTCAGTTAGGTATTTTACTGCTCTATGGAAACAAAACAAAAATAGTTATTTTTCACATCAGAAAGTTTGCTCCCGGGCAGTAGCTAAAGTTTAAAATGTCAACTATATAAAATAATAAGCATCTAAGCTGCACCACAATATTAAATAGGACAGAATTCAACCAGCTGAAAGATGTACAAAGGACATCAACATATGTATAAACAAAATCCTGGGGCAATAAAAACATTTTATTTTATTAAAAATTGAATTGCCTTTGAAAGATCAGAGTATGTTCATGTCACAGAAAGCACCTCTTCCTAATGCATTTACCTTACCAAAGCATTTGGAGAAAGGCCGCCTCTTAAGATATAAATAAAACATGGCAGGTTTAAGCTGGCATGGGGAATCTATAAATCCAGGTGCTGAAAGGACAATCAGTTCAGATGCAAAGTAGCTTATTATAGACCATAGTCAAGGGGAAAAGTTTGTATGTCTGTTTTTAATCAAGGGTTAAAGATGCTTTGTCTTTGTCTGTTTTTAATCAGTGGAGATTCCTAGATGTTCAAAACTAAGGGAGGAATGGTCCTCTATAGTGTTTATATGCCTAGTCCAACTCTGTAGTTGAAGAGTAATCAAGTAGAAAAAACAGTTTTTCACTTAATGTAATGGAATGATGCTCCTATTTCATATATAATAATTGGATGTTTCTGAAATCTTGATGATGGAATATAATTGTCTAGAGAGATTCTCAGTCATCCAGGTTATAGTTGTCTCACAGGTTCTCAAAAGTCAACTGGACTGCTTTTTGAGGAAGTACATTTATTACTCTTCCAAGAAGCTTCATCAGTTGTGACTGGATGGTGGGGAGAGGGAAGGATAGGTTCTGACAGGATGGTGGGTGGTGATGGAAGGATTGTATTTCTTTGCAGTCATCAGATTGTTGGCACTCTCTGGGAAAGCTTTTGAGGCCACTTGGGGGCTTCTCTGTATCCTCAGGGACACCTGAATCAGAGTACAAATGGTTGTGGAATCTTTTTGGAACTGCTGAAAGAACTCCATTAGGAGATAGGTGGTTTGAAAGAGGGGTGAGAGTCCATCAATGTTAGAACTGAACAGCCCTCCCTCAATAGAGTAGGAGGAATATGACACCACCTGTCTCCTGTCTACAATGCAGTCCTGTCTTGTTTGCAGCAAGAACTAGAAAAATCATCAATTTCGAAAATGCTTTTTACTTAATCTATTCATTTATGCGTGTTTGTGTTTTATTTTTTCATTTTCATAACATATAAACCACATGTATACTATTACATAGCCAACATCGTATTGTATTATTAAATGTTTATAT